TGACTGTGCGAYGAAACTRGCTTGATTTTGACGAATCCATTGGTAATTTTACTTGATCAGAATTTCTAACTTTAGATTTAGAGTCCCTTATTCAGAAATTAGAAAAAGTACAATCATCCGAAACAAAAATACAGTTTGAGAAAAAACTCAAAACGGAAAGTAAGTGGCGGAAATTTTTCAACTGTTTGACTTGCAGAAGAAYYAAGAAACCATCACCACCAAAACCATTAGAATTGGAAGAACCAGAAATTGAAGATAGTAGCGATTTTGACTGGTGGACCAAGTTTTACGCCTCTTTGGAAGTATTTTTTGASCAATGATAAACTTTTTAATTGTTTTCAGGAAACTCCTATTACAGGAAAAATACCATTGWGTCACAAATACAAATTAAAAGTAAGCAWTTCGTTTTGTTTGATAAAAATTTAATTTTTTTTGAGGTCTACTCGCATGAACTTGAACAACAGCCAGAATTTGAWGGTTTTTGTGACACTTTACGTTCATTTGAACTGTACAAAGGGAAAAGAACGGGGGATGAAGCCGTGGARGAGGCAAACACAACTGGGYTTTTTAAAGGTGCTTTGAGAATCTATCYGTGGCCTTTAAATGACAACGATTTTGTTACACCAACTGGTTTACCTCTYCAAGATGGAATTTTTCAAGACTTTCCTTCAAATACTCCAATAAATTTTGTTTTGAGYGTGTATTGTGTCAGAGCARTGAATTTAAGYCCGAAAGATATCAGTGGCAAATCTGATCCTTATCTTTACATAASCTTGAACCAAAATGTCATTAATGATAAYCAAAATTGTATCAAAAGACAAATTAARCCAATTTTTGGCCGTTGRTTTGAATTTACCGGAATTTTTCCRCAAGACCACACTTTGATAGTTGCGGTGAAAGACTGGGATGCTGTTAGTGCAGACGATTTGATTGGTCAAACTAAAATCGACTTGGAAAATCGTTTTTATAGCAAACATCGAGGCCATTGTGGCTTGGCTGCAGACTACTTGACGTACAAATACAAATTTTGAACTTCACTTAACTCAAAGTTTTAGTTTAGGTTATTGTCAATGGCGAGATCAGCAAAAACCGAGCACAATTCTTGAAAATCTTTGCAAAAAATARAATATACCCGATTTAGAGTATAAGGAAAAGTCGATAATTGTTGGCCCACAAGAATTTATTTTGGATAATAGTAAGTGCTTAAAAAAATGTATTGAAATAATATTTTTTATAGTCGTTGAGAATGTCGATTTGAGACGTCAAGCTTTGGCTTTGCTGGCTTTGAAACATTGGGTTGAAATCCCCCTAGTGGGATGTGCTCTAGTGCCAGAACATGTTGAAACTAGATCATTGTTTCACCCTCAAAGGCCAGGAGTCGAACAGGTTTTTCCTCCAATTTTTACTCCCCAAAAATTTAGATTGTGTTTTAGGGCAAATTGCAATTGTGGCTTGATATTTTACCAGTGACCGATTTCCCAACCCCTAGACAAGTCAATATAACCCCCCGGAAACCGGTTTCGTATGAATTGAGGGTTATTGTGTGGAATYCCGAAGGAATTATTTTAGAAGAAAAAGATATTCTAACAGGGGAGAAAAAAGCTGATGTTTATATCAAAGGATGGCTCACAGGGCCAGCTACAGCCCAGTATACGGATGTCCACTATAGGATTTTATCAGGGGAAGCAATGTTTAATTGGAGGTTTATTTTCCCATTTCAGTACCTCTCCACTGAAAATAAGATCGTCCAAACGAAAAAAACGAATTTTGAAGAAAGCGAAGAGAAAATTCCGTGTAAACTAACAATTCAAGCTTGGGAAAATGACGCTTTTTCTCCCGATGATTTCCTAGGTGTTGTCACTTTGGAATTATCAAGGCTTCATCGAGGCGCAAGCCTATTTAGAAATTGCTCGCCTGCTCTGACCCAACCTGGCGCTCCAGTCTTAAACCTATTCAAAATTCGAAGAACCAAAGGTTGGTGGCCTTTAAAAACCATTAATSCACGGACCCGGAAAGAAATATTTGCTGGTGGTGTTGAGCTAGAGTTTGAATTGATGACAAAGGATGAAGCCGAAAGAAATCCGGCAGGASTTGGACGGCGTGAACCACAAGGACTACCAAAACCAAAGTATGAGCCATTTTGGWATTTTATGTTTTTATTTTTCGTTGCAGTCGTCCAGATACTTCGTTTTCGTGGTTTTGGAATCCTTGGAGAGCCCTTAAGTACACACTTAAATTTTATAAAAAGAAAATTATCAAGTTTATTGTTATTGGGATTGTGGTTGCTCTTACTGTTTATTTARTGTATCGTTTCTCTGAGTATGGTTGGGAGAAGCTAATGGTTGAGTTAAAAAAGTATTTAAAAATAGAAAYTCGTTAATAAATATTTTAATGYAACAACAAATTTAACTTTTGTAATAAAAAAA